TCCTTTTCTGGATATTAAACTTCCATAACCTCAGAAAGCAGGTGAACAACAGCAAACCCAGAAATAAGCCTATCTTTAATTAAACAATTATTTTTCATTTCATGAAATTTAGGGTGGGGAGGGAGGCAGAAAGTTGTGCATAGCCTTTTACCTGGACACTGATGTGTTTGTATGTACCTTTAGTGGTTTGTCCCGTAGACCACTCTCTGTGCCCTGCACCCCACCACCCCCCTCAAAGTAACATGTCCCGGTGGACAGACCCTTACCACGAGGGGGAGCTGGCTGCTTCTTTTCTCTTGTACAGTCCTCCCTAGGTATCTGCAGGGGGTTGGTTCCAGGATGGGACCCTCCCGCCAACCCTTGCCCTGATACCAGCAGAGGCTCAGGTCCTTTATATGAAATGATGTAATACATGATCCTCCCATATACTTGAAATCATCTCTGGATGACTTTTAATACCTAATGCAATGTAAATACTATGTAAATAGTTGTATATTCAATGTAAATAGTTGCCAGCACATAGAAAATTCAAGTTTTGCTTTTTGGAACTATCTGGAATTTTTTTCCTGAATATTTTCAATCTGTGGTGGCTTGAATCTGTGGATGTGGAACCTGTTGATAGGGAGGGTCGACCGTAGTCTGTCTAGGTCATTTGCACTGCTGCCATTGCCTTCAGGGTTGAAAAAGGTTTTACCCCAGCTGGGGTTTCCTCTGAAACAGTATCTGGAGAAGTTGTTCCCCTTCGTCCGGCTTTGTCATGATCTCTCTCGGCACAGATGCTTGGATGTGAGATGGTTGACATTTGCCCCTCTTGGGTGGGGGGAGGACCTGGGATGTGCTGGGGTGCTGGACGTCTCAGGAGCCCGGGTGGGTACCGGCAGTGCGGAGGATGAGAGGAGTGCTGTGTGCAGGTATGAGCCCCAGCTGCATGAATCTTCTTCTTTCAATATGGACCACTTGTTGAGCACCTGTTACCCACTGAGTATTAGGGATACTGACATGACTCTCACACAGACCTGCTTCTAAAGAGTTACCTGTCTGGTGAAGAGGTAGCATACATGCAAGAAACATGTTCTGAGCACAGAGAGGCATAGTGTGAGCCCTGGCAGTTGGGCTTTCTCTTTTTTGTAAAGCAAATGAAATGGAGGGCAGTCATCAGTTTCAATCCCTAAATTATAACTTGCTTAATAAATAATATCCTGTAGCCTATCTTCACCGACTAAGCTTGCTTTAATTATTTTTGCAAATTGCATACCCTCTAAGCTTCATGTAACCTAGATAATATATCACAAGACTCCTTAACCACCCCCTGCAGACCACCTCTGACATCTAGGTCACTATGGTAACAGTCGCTTAAGTTGTTTTTCAGGAACTTGGAGTCAGCTCTTGTCCAGTTTGAGCTGGTTAAGGTTGGTTGGGACCACTACTCTCAAACTGGCTTTGCACAATTGTCCAATGAATGACCTTCTGATGTCAGAGGGCCAGAAAGTCTACCCTCAGATCGTGCTAACATAGCCATTTTCTGAACATGCATCCCATGAAAAGCATGTAACTTGGATGCTCCTGCACAGAGCACAAATTACCTCACGTTTCCCCTACCTCCAGTCACCTTTCCCTACTCCTAAGACCACCCTGCTTCTCTATCCCACAAATATTCCAAGCCCCTGACCTTCCGGGAGGTGGATTTGAGATCTGTTCTCCTCACATGCCTGCCTCGTGAATAAATGCTTTCTCGGCTGCTCACCTTGACATCCCGGCATTTAGCTTACTGCGTGCGGGCAAACAAAGCTGGTTCCTGCTTTGGTAACATGAGTGCCTGACTTAAGCTTTGATTGCCGGGGCATCCACTTCAAAGATGGCTATCTTAATGAACAACAATTGCCAGCCACACGACTAGATAAAAAGCCAGGCTGCTTCCCCACAGTGAGGCTCCTTTGTTTTAGAGATCTTGGCTGGTTTTGATAAGTGACCTTTCGGGTCACTTGTTTTTCTCTTCCCATGCTTTAAATTCTTTCTCTTATGTTTTAAATTCACTAATAAAGAGTGGACCCTGGAAACCCTAGACCTGCCTCCTGAACCTCAATAAAAACAGCATCCCAGGCCTGCGTACTCCCCCCACCCCCCCTCCGCCTCCCCACCATAAATGCCTGTGTGGCCCCAGGTGTGCCAGGTAATTTCCAGCTCCTGTAAGTAATACATTCCCCCCACCCTTTCCATAGTGTCCTGGTAATTATTGCTGAAGGGCATCTTGCAGTCATAATAAAAACCACAAGGGCTGGTCCAGCCACAACATTGGTTATTGATAGGCTGAGATCAGCATCAAACAAGAGGATGGAGAAATTAATTTCACAGGATGAGAATGGAGAGGTGGGCAGAAGTGGTGAAGTCATTCAACATTCAGCTGATATTTACTGAGTGCCTCTTTGTTCTAGGCACTGTTTTAGGCCCTGGGGATACATCAGTGAAAGGAACAGAAATCCCTGCCCTCGTGGTGCTTACTTCCTAGTGAAGAAAGCAGGCAAATAAGTAAATAACACAGTATATTGGATAATAGTGAGAAATGCTACAAGCTGAAGAAGTTCTAGAAATCTGCTGTACAACATAATGCCAGTAGTTAACAATACGGTGCTGTGCACTTAAAACCTTAAGAGGGTAGATCTCATGCTAAGATGGTAAATGGTTTTAACACACACACACGTGGCAAGGAGACACAAGATTCTTGGAGGTGATGGTAACACAGGTGTGTGCTTATGTCCAAACTCCCCAAAATGTATACACGAAACATGTGCAGTTTTTTTGTACCTTAAATATACCTCGAATAGCTGCAAAAAATGCTAAGGACAACAATAAAGTAGGGACTTTGTGAAGGAAGCTGCAATTTTAGACAGGCTGGCCAGGAAAGGCCTCTCTGAAAAAGTGGCATTTGAACAAAGATCTGATGGAAGTGAGGGAATGAGCCATTACATTATATGCCAGATGTTGATATATATCTTTTGCAATTTAAACCGTGAGTAAAAAATTCTAGGTGCCTGCTTTAGCACGTGTGAAAGTATATTTAGTTTTAAAAAATTCTTTTAGAACAAAGTTTAGGAAAGAGAAATTAAGAAAGCAATCGTATTTACAATAGTGTCAAAAAGAATGAAGTATAGGAATGAATTTAACCAAGGAGGTGAAAAATCTGTGCAGGGAAAACTGTAAGACCTCTATATACATATCAGCCAGAATGGAATAGTATGCAGCCATGAGAATGAAGGAAATCATGCCATTTGCATCAGCATGGATAGACCTCGAGGGTATTATGCTCAGTGACATAAATCAGACAGAGAAAGACAAATACTGTAAGATCTCACTTATATGAGGATCTTAAAAAAAGAAAAATTGAACTCGTCTTAACAAAAAGTAGATTGGCTGTTGCCAGGGGCTGGGAGGTGGGAGGAATGGGTGATGGTGGTCACAGGGTCTGAACTTCTGGCTATAAGATGAAGCCAGTAGCCTGATGAGAGGATGGATCTGGGAATGGGGTGTGTATCAGCTTCCTAGCTCTGCCATAATACAGTGCCATCAACTGGATGACTTAAAACAACACACATTCATTGTCTCAGTTCTGGTGGCTAGAAGTCCGAAATCAAGGTGTCAGCAGGGCCATGCTCCCCCTGAAATCTATAGGGGAGACTCCTTTCTTACCACCTTTCTAGCTTCTGGTGTTTGCTGGTGATCCTTGGCCTTCCTTTTCTTACAAATGCATCACTTCATGGCCATCTTCCCTTGTGTGTCTTCACATCATCTTTCCTCCGTGTGTGTCTGTGTCCAGATTTCTCTCTTCTTATAGACAACGGGCATATTGGTTTAGGGGTTCACCCTACTCCAGAGTGACCTTAACTAATTGCATCTGCAATGACCTGATTTCCAAGTAAGGTCACATTTTGAGGTACCAGGGGTGAAGACTTCAACAGGTCTTTTTGGGGGGCACACTTCAACCCATGAACAGGGTGGCAGGCTACTTGAGTGTGAAATGCCCTGTGTACCCAGCGTTGATCATAATCAGCGCTCCGAGGGGATCTGTTCCTTGGTAGTGTTCTCCGAAATGCAGGATGTGTGGTGGTGAGTAGGCTGAGTAGGAGGATACATTACTCCATTCATTCAAAACCGGGTCTACGTTGAATGCCTCCCAACCCCAGGATAGAAGGGGAGGGAATCCGATGGGGTGGAAGGAAGGACAGTCTAGAATCAGTGATCTAGGGGTGTTAGAGAGTAGACATCCTGTGCGCCAGGCCTGGGGAGAGGGCTGGTGGGAGAGCTGATGCTTCTGTCTTTCTCTACAGTCATGAGTGTCCTTCCCTGCTCATCTGTGTGCAAAGCGCAGCCCTGGCCTGCGGTGGGGGAAAGCAGGGGATACAGGATTAGTACGTGGGTAATTGTAACAGATTCAATTGGTCTCTTTGGTCAAGCACCAGCCATCACTGCAGTGGCTCATTATTTTACTTCTGTGATCTAACTGGCCGTGGCCATTCACTTTGGCCCAGCGTAGAAAGTATGAATAGGGGGTGGCCCAGCATGAGAAAGTGGCTTTAATAACAAGGGCTCAAGCTTTAACTGTTTTCAAGATGATAAATCCTGCTTCGCTGGAGGTTGATTTACTTTTTGGGAATGCTCAAATGTCCCTGGGAGCCATGTGTGAAGAATAAGGAAGGGAGGGTAGAGCTCAGTGGTAGAGCACATGCTTAGCATGCACGAGGTCCTGTGTTCAATCCCCAGTCCCTCCATTAAAAAAAAAAAGAACCTAATTACTTCCCCCTTCTCTCCTGACCCCAAAACAATAAGGAGGCAGACCAGAAGTAGAGTGGCATTTGGACCAGAGGGAGATCCAGCAGGTGTGGCTGTGGCTCAGTGTGGATCCAAGGGCTTGTGAGAGGCTGTGTGTGGCTGAGAGCCTGGGTCAGGCATGGCTTTCCTCCTGCTCTGCTCCAGGGCCCACCCCACAGAGCACAGACAAGCGCAAGCTGAATGCTTTCAGTTTAATCTCTCTAGGCTACAAGCATGTTTAAGGCGGTAAGTCCAGAGACCCATTCTGTTCAGTTTCTCAGAGTGAAAATATTGGAGAAGTGAATTTTTTCCTCAGGGTTTGTGCAAATTCGGCTGCATCTAGAGTATAGTGGAGAGGAGAATGAGGCTTGAAGTTTGGAGGCACCAGCTCCACCCTTTCCTTCCTCCTCTGCTCCATCTTCTGCTTCCCAGCCTCACTGAGCCCCTGGAGGGGCCTCGTACCAAAATCAGAGGGACGGCGGTTAGAGTCACCGGAGAACAAGGGACCTGCCCTCTCCCACCACCCGGGCAGGACTGAGAGGAAGACAAGCAGGCCGTGGACAAGAGGAAGGCTGGAGGTCAGACCCCAGGGGAAATCTGATATGGGGCAACCATGGTGGTTTGCATGTAGGCGAGAAATTGGAGACATCATGAGGGAAGCTTCTGCAGGGAGTGCAGGGACTCAGTGTGGGGTGCAGGTGGTGGCGTGTGCTGTCCGCCTCCCACCCCTGGGCGGTGGGTGGTGAGAATTCCCACTCCCACAAGCCTTTGCTTTGGGATGTACTCACCTTTGATTCATTTTTTCCCAACTTTAATTTTTTCACGTAGTTTTTCTCCCGCTCTTTTGGCTAGCCTGAGACTTTTCTTACCCAGAGACCTAATTTTGGAGCAGAAAAATCACATGGGCAGAAAAGTCGTATCTTTAAAGAGGACTCCCACTTTCCCACTTTCCCACCTTCCCCCAACCCCATCCCCCACCGGACATTATTATCCTTGGACAAATTCCTAAAGTGGAGAAGTTTTGCTGGTGGCGTGTTCTGTCCGTTTCCCACCCCTGGCCCGTGGGTGGTGAGAATTCCCACTCCCACGAGCCTTTGCTTTGGGAAATACTCACCTTCGATTAATTTCTTTCCATCTTCAAATTTTTCACGTAGTTTTTCTCTGGCTCCTTTGGCTAGCTCGAGACCTTTTTCTACCCCAAGACCTTTTCCTATCCCGAGTCCTAATTTTGGAGCAGAAAAATCACATGGGCAGAAAAGTCATATCTTTAAAGAGGACTCCCACCTTCCCCTGACCCCACCCCCCACCGGACATTATTATTCTTGGACAAATTCCTTAAGTGGAGAAGTTTTGCCTAGGGGCCCAGTTTCTTTCTCCTGAGAAGGTGGGTGGAAGGGGAAAGAAACCACGTAAGGTGCAGGCAGCAACATCTACTGTTGCAGAAACTCTCGGTAGGGGGTGCAGGGTGCACCCCCATTTGTGCCTTTGTGTCCGGGTGAATGGCTCTGCCTGCTTCTCCCTGGGCCTGTCTCTGTGGGTGGAGGCGTCATGCAGGCCTGCCGCCAGACACTTCTCTAGGTTGTTATCTGGCGTAGAGACAGAGACTTACGCAGGGGTTTGAATACTAAGGTGGTTTTCTCCTGAGTCACTGCCGAAGTCTCCTGGGTTGTCTTTTGGGGTGAAGCAGATTCCACTACACATGTCGTCGTCTTATTAGCTTTAGCTACAAACCAACCAATTTGTTGAATTTAGCACAATCAGTGTTTTTTCCTCTTTGGAAGGGGTAAGAGGGCCCCAGGATACCTCTCTGTGCTGGGTGCCAGAAAACAAGAGTGAAAGGGCATGAACTCTGCCCTCTTTAGGGAGGTAACACACAATGTGCCTGCTATGGAACTGAATGTGTGTGTCCCCCTCAAATCATATGTTGAAATCTTAACAGTGGCGCCCACCCCCCTGCCCCCAGCAATGTGATGGGAAGGGGGGCCTATGAGATTAGTCACAAGGGTGGGGTTCCCCTGAGTGGGATTAGCACCCTTATAAAAGAGACCCCGGAGAACTCTGTCTGTCATGTGAGGATACAATGAGAGACTGGCAGTCTGCAACCTGGAAGAGGGCCCTCACCAGAACCTGACCAGGCTGGTGCCCTGATCTCAGACTTCCAGCCTCCAGAACTGTGAGAAATACATTTCTGCTGTTTAAGCCTAGTTGCTAGTTACAGCAGCCAGATTGGATCAAGACAGTGCCTCCTGGAAAGTGGGCAGAGTTGGGGAGGGATATGGGGTGGGGTCTGGGGAGAATCAGGGGGCATGTCAGAGAGAAGCTGGGTCTTGGAGGCAGGAGTCTGGCAGGGAGGATGTTCTAAAGGGGCTTCTTTGGGGGCAGGAAGTGAGTCAGCAAGAGCTTGGGGGAAGGCATGGGTGGGGCAGGTGTGGGGAGTGCAAACAAGTTCAGCTGAGCTGATGTGGCTGGTAGTGGAAGGAGAGGCATGGAACACAGGGCTGGAAACGAGGTCTGAGGCTGAATAAGAGGCACCTCGCTGAGGAGCTGGGAGTTAGGGGAGGTGTTTGCGGGTGACAGTATTAATACCATGTGTGACATTTCCTTTGTCATTTATCCTCATCTTTTCCTCCCTTTTATTCACAACAAATCTTTTCCCCAGACTTCCCATGGCCTTAGCCTTAGTTTCTCCTCAGCCTTGTCCCACCCTAGTCTGTGCTCCTCCCATCACCATCAAGAGCAGGACCCAAGTCCCCTCCCCCTGGATTCCTCTCCCAGCCCCCACAGACATCCCCAGCTGTTAAATTAAAACTTCCCCCCAGGGCAGGAGGAGGGAGAGAACTCACGGGTCACAGGTTCCTGGACCGGAGTAGAATTTTCTGTAATGGAGGAAAGAGATGACAGTGAGCACTGAGCCTGCCCCGAGAGCCACCCTCCCTCCCTCCCATTCCCAATCCCCGGCTCCTGGAATGGCCTGTGGACGCAGGGGGACACACTGCTCTGTAGGTTCAATGTGGCCACATCACTAGGTCCCCCTGGGTGTTCTTTCTGATGTTTAATTTTAACTCCTCCTGCAATTTGTTGAAGCAGGCTCTCCTTGGGAAAGTGTCATATGCCTCTGAAAACTGCCCTCCTCCCCGCTTGCTTCTAGCTTGTGAAGGTTCCCTGAGATCCCCGTAGCGGGGACGGCTGTGGTCGGAGGGGCTCTCTGTGATGGAGCAGGACAGTGCGGGGGCCACGGGGCCACACCCCAGTGATTTCTAGGGTTGGACCCCCCATTCTCTTCATTCTTTTAACACAACATTTATGCAAAGCTAATTATGCTAATTGAAGGGGGTTCAGTGCTGAAGAAAGTGGACAGACCCTGCCTGACAGAGCTGATAGTCCACGATGTAATTACTTAGTTCCCGGTGTGATTATGCAGGGAGGGCAGGTACAGGGTGTGATCAGGGCAAACGGGGCCTCATTTATTCTGCATGTTCATGGAAGGCTCCTTTGAGAAGCTGATATCTAAACTGAGATTTGACAGATAAAAAACGTGTTGGCCAGGCGATGCTCAGAGCTGGAGGAAGGGACAGGGGAGGAAAAGCATTCCAGGTGGAGGGAAGGGCAAGAAGGAAGGGCAAGAAGGAAAGTTCTGATGTTCGATGTTCAAGGAATGGCAGTGTTGTCCTGGCCCAGACAGTACTTTTGTGAGGCTGGAAAAGGCATCCTGAGAGACGTGATCAGAGGCAGGGGGCACCACTTGGCACGTGCAATGCAGGTGAGATTTCAGCCCCCACCACCCCTGGCCTGGCACTCTTGTGCAGTGGACAACCTGCCCAGCTGTACGCGGTGGCCCAGAGGCCCTACAAGAAGGCCAGAGGGGCAGGAGCGTAATGGGTAGAGGATGGTGTGTGAGGTGGTGGACCAGGCAGGGCTGGGGGTGTCCTGGCTCCCTGACCAGGGGGGTCAGGCCACGGGGGGAGACCTGGGGGCACGAGTCACTTGCAGAGGCAGGCGGAGCTAGGACAGCACTGGGAGAGAAAGAGAGGCAGGAAGACAGGAGGGGTGGCTGCCCTGGACCATGAGGGCTCTGGTAGGGTGCAGGGGAAGGGCCATACTCACGGGCACAGACCAGGATCCCAGCCAGAGCTGCCAAGAAGAGGAGAGCCGTGAATCTCATGGCCTTGGGAAGAGGAGTGAATGTAACCACACAATCCTCTGAGGGTCCGAGAATGCCTGTACTGACACTGCTGGGCCCTTTTAAGGATGCCACTGGCCAATAGGAATCAAGCTTGGAGGGGTGTGACATCCGCATCCTCCTCCCCTTCTTCCCCAAACTGTCACCTGCTAAGTCAACAAGGGCTAGGTGGGGCTGACCCACGCCTGGCATCCGTACAGGGAGGTCCTTTCCCTCCTGACTTCCAGCCATCCCTTTCCCCCTCCCTCCCTTCTCCATCCCTCCTGCCCCCCTGGGTCACATCCCTGGGGTCACAGGGACCAGAGACAGAGCAGGTTTTGTTTGGGGTGATTCTGGAATGTGTCTGTTGAGGGTCCTGGTAGAACTGGGGTTCTGGCATCTCTCCAAGGGGAGTCTGGGGGCTCAGGAGATCACGTCCGCCTTTTGCCTCCATTCCCACAGGAGCTCAGTGCAACCCTGGCTCCCCAGACTATGTGAGCCTTTCCCGGGGAGGCTTCGCTCAGGACACCTGGGGGCTGAGTTCATGGCTCCTCTCTCCCCTTGAGGGGCTGGCTTTGAAGGCACTGTGCCTTCTCTGGAGGGGTCTTCTGTTCTTGAAGTTATCTAACCCCTATGAGGCACTGCCCCAGCTCCACATGGGCCTCTGTCAACCTCTATCTTCAGGCCCAACCAACAGGACTCCATGTTTCTGAGAGGTTCTCTAAATTTACTGAAGTTGGACCTTGGTTCTCCATTCAAGTGGGGAGCTAATCCATAGTGTGAACAACCCAGAAAAATAGATAATTCTGAAGAAGCTTCTCTTTGCGTTGGGATTTCTTCCCCTCCCTGAGCTGGGATTCAAGAGCCCTGGATTTTGAGTTCTGGCTTTGTCACATACACAGGACAGTATACTGTCCAATATTGAAAACTGCAGGGTTTTCATTTGTCATCTAGGAGTTTGGGCTCCTCTGTGCAGGACAGTAGTGGAGAGTAAATGAAATAACATATGGCCAAGAATCCGTTAGACGATCCATTTCTATGGAATGTGTGGGATTCCTGAACCACGCAGAGGGTGGGAGGGTTTGGTTCAGGTTGGTGCTAGAAGCTTAACAGACTGGGGCCAAGGGGAAACAGGAGCCCGTTGAGGGGCTGATGGGTGGGAATAGGGCACTGGATACCAATCTGTGATGCTCTATTTGCTTGGCGTTGCCCCTCAGCAGGACCAGGAGGTCGTGCATTCTTCTCTGCCTCACGGCTGCTCTGCAGATGAGCGTGGGAAAACAAGTATTGGGGAACTTTTGACATGAGGGTGTTTGGGGTGTCTCGGTTCAGGACATTAATCTCTTTAGGGGATTAAGGAAGAGAAAATTAATGGGGTGGGACATTTTAGGCATGAAGAGGGAGAACTTTCAGGCCACTTCATCCATCCTTGGCCTCCAGATAAGATGACCATCACATTCAGGCAGCTGATCTGCTCCAGACATAGAGGGTGGGAATGGGGTTAAAGTATGGGTCCCCCACTAACTCCCTGTGTGATCTGATGTTTAAGGTTTCTCTGGCACCTAATGGTGGCCAGTAGGTGAAGAAGAGGGATTCATTGAACTAATGCGGGGACAGGACCTGACAACTGCCTGCTTGCCTGAGGGTCCAGGCCTGGGAGCCTTGGAGGTGGTTGTGGCCTCTACTGGGATGGGAGGGCTGAGTTACAGGAGAAAGCGTTGAGTGCATC